TTAACTCACACATGGAATAGCTCACCTCGAGTCCAATGTAACGCCTTTGGCCGCAATATCGCGGTTTCCGAACTCCCGTTCACGAGCTGAGAAGTATCAAGTCCAGATGCTATCCTATTCCGTGATACTATACAATCCCCCGGGTCCTGAGGGGAAGGCAAAGGTCGAGCACAGACTTCTCCGGAGATACACCCTAACAAGCGGGTCTCCTCATGGCTCCACCTATTGTCCGTCTCTTCTGTTCGTCCACTCCTCCCCTACGCAATCATAAGAAGCCCCGACAGGCCCGGCTCATGCATGGTATCATAAGCAAGAAGGATGGATTTTGAAGGCGTAAAAGGATGCCCCAATCCCCTCATGACAGAGAACCCTTAGTTTTACTGGCAGCTGGGTTGTGGGCCCTTTGCTCACCCGGTGCACGAGGGCGGGGATACAGCAGCTGAGAACACCCTAGCAAGACTGATGACAGCGATGACTATCCAAGGAGAGAAATTCGTAAAAAAAAAAACCTACCCTTTGGAGGTCGCGAACGGTAAAATTCGCAGCAAGGCATACTGTGCCTGGTTGGACTATTTGAGCTCTGTGATTTTCTGAGAATATTTAAATGAAGGAAGGGTTCTGAATCATTTGAGCACTAAAAGGCTAAAAACCCGATTTTCTGACCCAATAGAGCTATGGTAATTCCAACCTGGCCTTAGTGCAGCTAGCTGTGAATCCCACACGTACTATTCTACACCCCCAAGGAATAATAACCCATCATCCGAGCAGAAATATCAAACAAGTCTCCCACAATCACTCAGCCAGCCCTTCCGGTGGTGCAGGAAAACAAAACGATACCGACCCAAGATGGGCACTCACCCGGAAAACAGGAGGAACCTCCGCTCGCCGCCGCTGCAATCAACGCAATGAAAATTTTCGTCATCCTCCCCGCACCCTTCCTAACAGCCGACCTATTCACCGCCAAGTCAAGAATCCTTCCTCTTGAAACTCGTTTCCCGGCCCGATTTTCAAAAGCTGCGCGACACCGGCGCCCGCCTAATCCGATACCCGGACGCGAATTATCAAGCGAGAAGAGCGTTCTCCAGTACTCCCTCGTATCCCATCCTGATTAAGACCCGTTTTGCCATATCTTCTAGGTGGGATATGGATTAGCAAGACCGCCAGATGCGGAAACACTCCTTGTAGTGGGAGCCCCGCCCTCCAAGGAAGGGGCGGTGGTTTTTAGCGCTAAGTTGGGTAGTCCACGAGAGCAGTGTCCATGAATAGCAAACAGTGCGACCCTTTGCTCCTACACATGACCGCAAGAAGTATTTCGCTATTTGTCGGCACACATGAGAGTGCTGACAGCCTATAAATGCTTACTTCAATTTCATGGCCACCATCCATCTAGTCCCGAATATGAACGAGGCTTCCCCGGGAAGACCTATGGTCTTGCCCCTGGTATGTTCACTTATCAGAATTTGCAGTGGCTAGGTAAATCCGCTCTAGCAAATTACTGCTCCTAGGAGAAAAGCTAGACAAGTTTTCACTGGCACGAATAGATATCTTGAGCTCACAGCCACTCAGCCGGAACATAATGGCGTCGAATAAAATAATTTCAGCCAATACAAATTCCATATGCTCCAAGACAAACAATATATAAAAAATAAGCAAAAAAAAACAGCCAAAAGCACATAACCCATCAATCAATATTAACAACGGCCCCACCACTGCCGAATACAAACCCCAAGCTAAGAAGAAGAAAAATAGGCAGTAAAAGAAGAAATCATCTACTACAAACTACTTACACCCCCATCCAATCCCATCCGTCCGATCCGCCCAAAAACACCACCCAAGATAGAACCAAAAACAAAACGAGAAATAAAACAACGAACCAAAAACTAGCGTAAAAAGAAAAAAGGAAATACAAAACCCTAAATCTGATTCAAACTCCCTATAGCCTCAACCGACGAAACTGTAGCTCGGTCGCTACTACTCCCCGCACTCCCAATACTCCCCAAGCTCGGGCTCGCGCCGTGACCCCTCAACTGCTTCATCTCAGGCGTAGCCGCCGGCGTCGGATGTCGGGAGTTTAAATTCGAATGCGAGCGTGAATGTGAATGCTGGTGGTGCTGACCGTGCAGGCTATTCGGCGAGTCCCACTGCAAAGCCTCGCCTTCGATGCCGACTACTATGTTTGCTTCTTCCTCAACGTTGTCGATAGGACTCATATCCTCCCTTTGCGCGCGGCGGATGCTACGGCCTTGGGTGGAGATGTCGAGATGCACCTGTAGGGCAGGGTGGACGGGGAGGTCTTTTGGAAGTGGTGATGGGGAATCAGGGGGTGGTTGGGGGCGGAGGTGACGGATCAGCGGCTTGAATCCCGCGGGTTGTGAGTCGGAGGCTTTGCGGATGTGCAGCGGATTCGGGAGAGGTGGGACCTCTGGGATCGGAGCGCGGGGGGAAGAAATCTGCTCGTAGTCTGCCACCGGCTGGTCGCTGCCGGGGTAATAGTAGTTTTGCATCCTCATGACTCCGGGTTGCGCAGGGAGGCCAAGAGGTGGCTGAGCTCCAGAGTCGGAGGGTCCTCGGGAGTGACTGCTTCCACCGCTTCCGGGAGCCGGAGAGTGGGTCCTACCGGATCCGGGGGTGCGTGTTCGAGGAGCGGGGGAGTTCGCGCGGGCTGTTTCGAAAGTTATTGTTCGGCCACCGGACAGAGGCGCGGGTGACATGGTGCGACCAACACCGGGAGTACCGATACGTGGGGTTGAGTTAGCTGTGCCTGTCAATGCAGGAGAGCGGCCCCTGGCTCCTGGGTTAGGTGAATTAGCGCGAGACCCGGCGCGGGAACCGCCGAGTTCGTTCTTCCAGGCACGGGGCGTAGCCGGCAGACCTGCTCCACGGATTGATACGGTTCGAGAGCACAAACCCGAGACGGATGGCCGCCGGGCCATAGCTCCCACTCTCTCAATCTGGTCGCTCCACTGGCGAAGCGTTCGCTCAGATCTAGATCTACGAAGTTCTCTGGCGCCGCGATTACGGGACTCCTCACGGAGAGTGCGACGAATGGTGCGCCTAGCCAGACGCTCTTCTGCTTCTGCTTCATCGGCCATTTGAGCATACATTTGAGCCCCAGGTGACATTGGCAATGGACTGGACGGCGATCTGAGGGCAGAGGCGCCGGGGTTTCGGGAATGTGATCGGCCGCGGCCCCCCGACTCGGTGCGTAGGGCAACCGTATAGTACCTCTCGTCTTCAAAGTCGTCAACCACTGCTACTTCGTCGTGATAGAGATGTGCTTGAGGTGGCATTATTGCCGAAGCGGAAGGAGACTCGATCATATTTGGCTCCAGTCTTCTCGCATCCTGACCTCTTGTTCTCGACCCGGAAGCGCTGACATCACGCCTTGCGCCCCGGCTCACTGTCCGATTTGTACCACGTTGATCGGTATAGTACCTCTCATCCTCAAATACCCCTTCGTGGAGATCCTCCTCCTCAATATCCTCTCTATAGAGCCTAGCTTGTGGTGACATTGGTAGCGGGCTAGAAGGCGAACGCTGATGATTGACATTCTCTCGACTTTCATGTCTCCCTCGACCATTCCTCGATCTCTCCCTACTTCCGTGCCTTGCTGGCCCTCTACCACGGACATCGGGGGACTCTGCTCTGCGCCTGGCCGTTCCGAGTGGGGCAGCGCGTTGTGAATCCAACCGTTTGTGGTTCACAGTGTCTACGACGTCTAGTGGGCCATCAAAAGCATTAGTTTGCGGCTGCAGGCGGCTAATAGACCTTCCTGTGCGAGGCGGAAGATACGATGTAGTAAGAGAACCAGTGCGCTTATGTCCGGTTGGAGCTGCGTGCCGAATAACATCGTCCATTGGGGGCCACTGGATCTGCAGGCCTGTGGGCTCCCTCCGCGAAGAACCATTGAGCCTTCCGACATTGTTACTGAAAGCCTCAGGAGGTGGAGCTGGGAGAGGGCTCGCTGGAGCTCGATACATTGGGGGAGTGGGAGACTTCGGCGCTAGTGATGGCATTGGGGCTGGAGCCATTGGAGGACTGGCCCTTCGGGATACCGGTGCCTTCGCCTTTGAAATTTGACCAAGGGTGACGACGGGGCTAGCAACTCCTGACGCAATTGCGGGGGTATTGTCGCCAGATCTGTGGGGATAATCACCGAGAGTGATTGGCCCCAAACTCTCAGAAAATCCACCGGAGTTACGTGCCTCAGTAGGGGACGAGACCTTCATCTCCTTTTCTTCTGGTAGAGGAGGCGCAAGTTTCTCGATTGGTGGCTGAAGTTGTTTAGGCGTCTTCTCATCGGGAGACATCTCAGTAACTGGCGCGAGCTTAGCTGAAGATGGAATGGCAGTCTTTGCAGACATTGAAGCGAACGGATCACGTCTAGCATTCCAAGGCGCGATATCGGCTCCCGGTGAGATGGCCGACATGGCAATCGGGGTTGCAACAGCAGAAACTGGGGTTTTCGCTCCATTCCTGTCGCTTGCCCAACCGAAGAAGCGGCTAACTGAGGCCATCTTGCCTCCCTCCACGGGCGAGGTAGTGGAAGAGCGTGGTATGAGATCAGCAGGAGGAGCCACAAATGAAGTGATAAGTTTCAGAGGAGAGTTCTTTGGGGTCATTCTCAAGGTTGCCCGGGGATTAGTTGGAGCACTGATAGGTATACCACGAACAAAATTCTGAATTGACTCAGTCTCCGATCTTGAGCGAGAGTGTGTGCGAGTTGGAGGAGTTGGTCGCTCAGTAGGTAGTGGTTCAGTTCCAGCGCAGGCGAAACTGTTATTTGTAAGTCAGAGTGATATTTCATGAAGATCTTAATTTTGACAAACGGACCATCTGGCAGCAAGTGCGCCCTCGGCATTTTCAGCGCAATGATCACCCCACTTCCTTACAAGCTGAGACTGTTTCTTCCAATCCCTCTTCCAGAGTAACGATGCCAGTAACACTGCTTCCCTTTAATCCACCGTTAATATGGTCCTACCACGTGTACCCGAGTGCACTTACATATATTTCTTATGCGAGACGTAAACCTCTACCGCATCACTCTTGTCACCAAGGGCTAACAGACATAAAACAGCAGTATGCAGTTCTCCTTTCTGTAGCAGGCGCATCACGAATGCTCGCACAACATGATTCCAAGATTTTTGTCCATCTGCAGATTATTACGTTAGCAAAGAATGCAAGGCGAAGGCACAGTGAAAAAAGAAAAAAAGAAAAAAAAAGCAAGTGAAAAACGAACCCATCGCGCTTAAAGCAAGGAACACCCAGTCCCCGGGAACGAAAAAATCGGCGCCTAGTAACACAGATAGCGAATTCTGATCCAGGTCACCCAGCCACATGCGCAGGATTACGGCACTCATGCTGCGGGCATCAACAGAATCGACTGCGTGTTTCAAGTCAGCACGCTTGTTAAGGTAGACCGGTGAAACATGGGATGAAACGCACGTTGATCTTGGATCAAGTGTTCGATGTCGCCCTTCCATCCAAAGATGCAAAAAAGCATTTCCTGGCGGTGATCATCTTCCGACATGTTACTTTTCGGCGATCCGATCCGTGGGCTTTGATACGTAACAGATGCGAGTCTCGCCCTCAAACCGGCAAATAAATCGATATCCCGAGGCGGGGTAGCCGTCTTCGCCTCATCCGGGCTTTGGTGGATTTCCTGCCGAAGAGGATGGGGGAGGCGCGAAGGGGAAGGCATGGGTGCACCTGTAGAACCGAATGAGTTTTTACGGCCTGTAGAGACTGAGGTCGCTTGTGAGAACTCGCTGTCGCCACTCGAGCGCTGAGTGCCCTTTGATGATGTTGAAACATTATGCTGATGACCTCCGCTAGTGGCCCCACCCGAAGATCGCGTGCTAAATGAGCCAGTTCGCGGTTGTGGCGAAACATTCGCAAGATTTGTGATTCCAAGCCCAGTCTCATCCTCCATCTTCTCCAATTGTTCCAATTCATGAGCTATGCGCCCGAGTGGCGACATAGTAGCCCTAAGGTATTCATCTTCCTCCCTGCTGAAGGGGTGTTGGAACACCCCCTCGTATTGCTCCTCTTCCACGACCTTCTTCTCCTCGATCGATACTGGCGGCGAAGGAGGAGGGACGGTAGGAATATGCTGAACGTTTGCCAAAAGAGCAGGCGGGTACAGTGCAAACTGCTGAACGGTGTCATCCTTTCCCAAAGTGAAAAGCACACCCTTCGGTCCAAATACTGTAATTCCGCAGACATTATCCAAAGTGCCTACTCGTTCCCAGGTAACCTTTTTAGTTCGAACATCCCAGACAGTTGTTTCGCTATCATAAAAATAGTTGTTAGCTTAAAGCACTTGCAATGGGGGTCACTCCCCTGGCCTCCTTCCCCCCCTCCACCTCCCGAGCCCGTATGTCTATTTTAGGCAAGGTTTCAGTTAAAAGGGGTTCTTGTTCGTGTCGCTTACCCTTCCGAATATTGCACGATTCTGCCGTTACGTGACCAGCCCATCCAATTATCACCCTTTCTATTGCTGTCGGGCTTTTTCAGAATGCGGACCACCCGTGCACCCTCTTCGGCATCTAATGACTTTGGCACACTCCAAACCCTAAGATCCCCATCCCTCGTCTGTGTCGCAAGCATGTCAGACTTTTGACGAGACGAAGATGCATGCCATGCCAGAGTAGCGATGGGTGAAGGTTGCAGCGAAGTAGTGGTGAGAGTATGCAAGATGATAAAGGAAGGGGATAACGCAGCAATCAGAACAGAGCCATTGGTGTAGCTACAGAAAGCGCCGTCAGAATGCATCTTTAGAAGAAAGGGAAAAAAATCCCCGGGGCAATGGATAAACCAATAGAAATAAAATGAATAAAATAGAGCATACCCTAAGGCAAAAGTCTTGCAATCTGCACCAGGCGCGATGGAGCACAATGGATCATATATTGTTCTGGCAGATATCGATTCCGAAGTTAATGGGTCAAATAATATCACATTCCCCATAGAGTCGCCTAGAATTCAACAATAAAAATGCAGGAACGGTCAGCGTGCATTTTAGGTTACCCGAGGGATTATCTTTTGAAATAATTCCCCACAAGTCGCAACAAGAGCTGAACCCACCGAATGCTAAATTCCCATTTTTCATCCACGCTGCCACCTTGATCTCCTCAAATGCATTGTACCGAGCGAGTTCATCACCCGTATGCGAGTCCCAAACAATTGCTTGCTTCGAAGCGTCCACACTAACTATCCTCCCCACACCATCTTCGCTGGTGTTGTCGGCAACTATCAATGTAATATCCTCCACATGCCCTTCAAACCTTCTCTCCAGCGCCAGCGAGTCGTACAGCAGACACAGTATCGAAGTGCCCTGGGCGAACAGTACGAATGTTGGTGTTGCAGCACAGGGCTGAAGTCTGGATCCTGTCTTCAAGCCCTCAACACTTCGGATTGATAAAGGTGAGGGCATGACTACCGACTTCCCAGGACTCGTAGAGTGCGAACGTGATCTGGAATTCATGGGGGTAGACATGTTGGGAAACAATTCGGGTGTGCGCTGCCTTCGAAGGGATTCACGTTGAAGGAAAGGCTCGAGGGGGGTGGGGGGAGGGAGGGGGCCACGCTACTTTTGTAGACGCAATATAGGCAGGGTGGTGGTGGGAGGGGAGATCAATGGGCCGTTACGCACCCCCCCTCACAAACAACTGCAGTACACGCCCTGAGTAAGGATTAATGTACGTTCTTGTACGTGTGTACCATGTACAGTACAGTATGTATGTGTCCACCCAGACGGACGGTTCCTCAGGGCAATGCAGAGAGCGGTGGGTGGGTATGGATGTATGGATGCGGATTATGGTGAGTAGTGCGGGAGGGGGAGAAGAGGAAAAGAAAAAAATTGCTTAAGATGTCAAGGGAAAAAGGGAAAAAGGAAAAAAGGAAAAAAGGGAGATCGAAGGGGGGTGAAGGGTGGGGGGGGGGTACGAGTAAAGGATGCGGATATCCAACACGAGATAACTCCAATGGGTTATTAATAAGGGAGAGAAAAGCAGGTCCCAGAAGATGTAAGGCGGATGTTGAAGGGCGAGTTGGTGGAGGGGAGCGAGCTATCGTGGCATAGAGATGGATATTTAACAGGCACCGGTATTTTGTGTGGGTAGTTTGTGGGGCGTACCAAAGATGAAAACAGAAAGGGCCGAAGAGAGAAGATCGTGATCACAAAATAATATCATTTCTCTTACCCTTTTTCTTCTTCCCTCTTTTTTCGTAACGAATGCAATTCCAAGTAGAAGCCAATTTCGGTGTCGGTTCAAGGTAAAAAAAGATGGCACTCATGAACAGCGGAGCTACAATACTCGAGTACCGGTGCAACTCAAACAGAAAGAACATCCACATCCACCTCCCTGCCCCTGCAGTGGCCGGATTACGACCATATTGTGCCCGGCAAAGGCATAGGATCGCCTTAATGTTGGCTAACGAGCTGGGTTACTGGGCTGCTCGCCATTGGCTATGCACCAATGACTTCGGTCGCCGTCGCCTCTGACTAGGGTCGGAGGGAGTCAATTCGTCCCACGGATAGAAACTAAAAAAGCCGGTCTAATTAAGTTCCCAAAAAAAGACAAAGCGTGTTTTAGAAGAGCTGTGGTGAGCAAGAACAAGTGATTTTAACGAAAGTGCCCTTCTCGCATTGCCATTGCACAGAGGTTCACGGGAATAGAATCTTCAGACCATCTGAAAATTATTGCTGTCTTGACTGATACGATGAGACCCCTGAGACGACAAGTGCCCATCCTCCAATCGCAATACAAAACCAGTCGTCTACATATGCCGCCGTCTGCAATCTGTGCATTTTGCGCTGCCCCACTTGTAACTTAACCCACAGAAAGTTTCTAACCCTCGATTCTTCAGTTCACGTCAGCCGAATAATTATTTTTCGAGATGCCGCCCCAGGACTACTTAATGCACTCGTCGAACAGTACAGATAAGTTACTCGTAGCAGGCGAGAAGTACCCGGTAAACAGGCATTCGCAAAATGCTGTATATCGTGCGTATGATACCTGAGCGCTCATACAAATTCACCACCCCTGTTACCGGATACCATACATCTTGCCTACTACGAGTGCTCGTGCCGTAGAGCCTACACACCGGCACTCCAGGCGCCTAGCGACCAAAGTCGGCCATTGAAAGGGCCATGCCCAGCGTCCCCCGCCCCCCGGAAGTACACCCGGAAGTACAGTATGCAGTACCGGTATCAGACAGATAGGAAAGCACCCTGACCTCTCTACTGATACCAGTACCCGGTGATGGACGGTTGACAAGGGCCGTTTCCGCTCACGACAAGCTTCCCCCCTGTAGCAAGAGGGGAAAAAAAATAAGAGAGGAAGATGAAAAAAAACAATGAAAAAACTCGTGACAAAGAATATCCATAGGCTATGAAAGAGGGAAGTGGAAGCTACTCGAGTATTGTCGTCGCTGCCTCCGGACCATCATAATTTAAAACTCGTGAATGAGCAAGTGAGATTTTGTGAGGGCAGGCTGGGATTGGATGCATGCACGTGCGAGTGCAGATGGAAGGCGGCCGCTACTGCGCAACACGGCGGAGAGCAAGGATTGCTTCACAGTACCGCAAAGAGAAAAGAGTCCTTTTTTTCTTTTCTTCTCATATCCCACCCCCGCCATCCTCCATTTTCACTCACTCATTCTTATCATTGTACGATATACTCGTATAGTGGCCCTGCCTCCTTTTTTTCTTTCTTCCCCTAATGGTGCTCGAGCACGATACCACCTGTAGCCTGTGTGCTCCCTCTTTTTTTTTCTTTTTATCTTCTTCTGGATGCCCGCATTGCCTTGCCCTGCACTCCAGATCAATCTTGCTTTAGCGACGGGATATCGATATCATCCCCTTGTTTTTCCTCTCACGCTCTCGCCATTTGTAGAGTTTTCTTCTTTCCTCCTCCCGCCTTTCCTTTTTAATTGGACTTCCGCCAGGGACCCCCCCGGCAGCCTTGTCAAATTCACCCCGGCCCGTGCTAATTAATAGTAGAGTACCGGTAACTCATAACCCCCCAGCGCCTAAAAGGCAAGTTAATGGGGTTGGATGAAGAATGCGAGGGGGGGTCATTTCGGAGGATGCGGTGATGTCGTTGAGCTGACTCGCAGGGCCGGAGTCCGATATTGTGCGCGTACATATACTCTCTTACTTGGGGGTTGTTTTCGTGATCTTGGTTCCTTGCTTTCTTAGCGCAGCGGGAGGTAGGTACTTCCGAGTGACGAGGGAATACCCTTGATACTGGGGAACTCAGACACCGAATCCTCCCAACCATTATGTCACTTCCAGGTACCAAATCTTTGTCCTACGTACCAGTATCCCATCGCATATCCATTCCATCATATGATACCGTAGTCCCTTCTACTGATACAATACCAGTACGGTAAATAACGGGCCACAACAATGTCGCTCACGAGTTGTACGATGGAAAGTGTCTAAAGGTGGGTCATCCGGTGAAACGGCAATTCCGTGGCAACCGATCGGAATTGAGCCAAGAATTGCCAAGACTTGATGAGTAAGGTGAAATGATACACTTGGGGGAAAAGAGTGAAGTGGTGAATAGGTGAAATTAAATAGAATTATGTACTTAATATAATATAACAAAGATATTTAAAACAAGATCTAACTGGAGCTCTGAGCTGTAGATACACGATGGTGACTTTTATAAACAGTATTAGTACATTAAGCTGTCCCATACTGTAATCCAGCATAGTAAGCATCATCTATATATGTACTCTTCTACCAGTACTTGAGAAGTAACAGGGAGGGTATTTCTTGCAGTGCTTTTGGAACAATCTTCACTAGTGAAGGCCAATTATATTGGCAATTCTTCCTTGTATACCACTTTGCCCTTCTCCATCTATACTCAATCCAGTTTAATTCGCAATGAAACTTAGGAAAGAACAAACACAAATAACCCTTTTTTTCTATCTCCTCTTAAAGGTGGGATTTTTGGTCAAGAAAGTCAGGCTGTACAGAGAGTAATCTTCAAGCACAGCATGAATTACTAAAGCGCTCACAATCTTGCTTCGATTCTTTACTCTTGTAGTTATATCTTAACCCTTCTGCTGGCCATAGTCCATGCTCCTGCAAGACTCTTTCGCACCCTTTAGACTTACCTCTCCATTTTGCTGGCACTGATAAGTCATCTGAATTAAAACTCATTTTTGATAGTGCAATATGACTCTCATAGGCACGTAGAACCAGCCATCGTGCAGATGCAGCTGTTTCCCACTAGGATCCATATTCATATGGAAGACTCAAAGTGCATCTAGTGCATTGGCAGTGTGAGAGGTAGCATGATCGAAAAGAAATAGTGCTTGTGCATTGGGAAATGTTGCTTCAAAAATTGGAATTGCAACATTAAGAACTTGGTTAATAAGATTTTGACCTTTCTACCAGGATTCTTGGCCAACTTTTATATATTCAGTAGCCTGCTCTAGATTAATCATAAGACCAGTAATTGGTTCAATAACTCGCCACAGAAGAATTTGTGGTAAGGGGGCAGAGGGAAGCATTTCAAGGCGACTGTAGGAAAGAATAAAATTGGACACTACGAGGCCTTAACTTTGTGATTTCTTTCGAATAAGATACTTGTTGCAACGATCCCTCCTAGAATGGTTAGTTCTTGGTGACGGGGAACAATACCTCTCTTCTCCTTCTTCTTCTTTCTGCGTCTTACGATAGCACTAGGCCTCTGCCTACATTACCAATAGTATAAGACCTCTGTCTTCTAACGGGAACACCTATTGTAAGCTTTCTCTAACTCTTCTCTGTGAAGAACTTTCCTCTGCATAACGATAAATATTGCAATAAAGATAAAGATCGTAAAGGTGTTTTATATTCGTTAAAGTAATAAGTAGGAAATGTACTTAGAATTCAATCTAATTTTATTTATACTAGTACCATCAACACTGGCATGCAACTAGTCTCCCCCATGCCCCATAAAACAAACTATCTAAAATATACTACGACGGACCATTCCGCCTCGCAACCTCTCCCCCCAAATATAAATCCAAAAATCACTACCTAAATGGGCTCATGGGCACTCGCAGCAACTGGCGCTGCCCCGGATTAACGCATCTTCCCACCTCACTACCCAGCCATCGTCTCATACCCTCACTCCTATCAGCCCCCAACACAATTTGGTCTACATACTTAACAAAGGAAATATACAGTCTATCCCAACATTCCTCCGTCCTCTTGTAATGCAGCCCAAGATCTAAATAGCCTTTCACCAACACCAAACCACAAAAGGAGCAGCAGGGTTCCTTCAGCAATTCGTTCACCTTAGCCCACCTCAAGACTACCAATGCCCGTGTCGCCAAGTTCAGCTCATCCCACTGCAAGTGCTGAGAATGCTAAAATCGATCATGACATATCTGTAAACACCGGGGGCGTTTTTCAAAGTGTTCCATGAAGATGGTGTATTTTTTGGTGGCTACAGCGGAAATGGTGGTACCACAACAGGGATACTCGTACCGCCG